GGCGTCCCAGGAGAGACCCGAAAACTCAATCCATCGTTCTATAACATGTAGAGAACACAGATATGCACCCATCCATCAATCTGTCCACCCGTATACCAATCTCTCTCTCTCTATATATATATGTATCTGTATTCAAATGCCAATGCATCAATCTATCGATCCGTACCTCCGTGTATGTAAATGCTTATGCCAATGTGTTGATCCACCGACCCGTCAACAAAATATATGCATGTATGATGTATGTATATAGATAATTGCAGGTATGATATCTGTATATAAGTATATGTATAGACAGGTGTATACAATATCATACTTGAACCGGTACCTACATATCAACACTTCTCTCGATATACATATATATATATATAGCTGCTGTCGATCTCCTGTAGTCCCCACGATAGGAAACAACCTGCAAGCCACACACACAGAAAGCATGTGAGCACATATCGCACAACAATAATATTTGTGATACGCACAAGAAGTCAATATGCACATCCACCATTAAAGGAATCCGAACGAGAAGTCACACGCACGAGCTGTATTTATCACCCGTACACCAGGGGTAAACTTGCAATCGCCCACAGAAGGAAATCGATTGCAAAGCCCGACAAACAGGTCCAAATGTAGTCCACACAATCGGACTCAATATGCGAAGCAACCACAACAATCCTGTTGTAAAGTAGCATGCGGAGATTCTGTGTGAAACACAATAGGAATCAACGTGTAGATCGCCCGCAACAGAGCACCATAGCCCCACAACAAGATTTCGCGTGCAACCCACACAATAAAAAAACATCACAGTGTAAGCCGCCTGCAGGTGGAGTTCTAGCGCACAGCCCCGCAAAAAGGATTCCAGGTAGGTTCCCACGATAATGCGTCAATATGTACATCGCCATGGGAAGGATGTCCTTGAACAAATTTGGAAAACTTGGATGACCCCCCACACAATAAAAAACAACACTGAAACCGTTGCTTGGGTTTACACTTCTGTTTTGCTATGTCTTTCCCCGGCCCCCATCCCGCCAGAACATTACCCTGGCGACGTACCCAACCCCTGCGCAATGCGGGGCAGGAGTAGCTTGGGAGATTTGACGAGAAGGCGGCGACGTGACATGGACGCATATACTTCTGCGAGCGGCATTCGTAAGGTTCGCAGGTCCCCAATCAAGGGAAAAACGATGAGTAACTAAGTGAAACCATGAGTCCCTTAGGGACACGCAAGGTCCAACAGGAGACGGTGGGCAAGGGGCTTGAAACGTGGGCGGGGCAACAACAGCATGACATGGCCACCATGGACGGCGAGGTCCCGCTCAGGTCGGCGCAGTGCCTCACTCCGCTGGACCCACCAGCAGCCCTCGAAAGTGGCGAAAATTTCGCAGATCGCAGCTCCCCAGGAGCGTCGAGGTCTCGCTCAGATCCGCGCGGTGAGGCAGCCCTCGAAAAAGGCGACCGTTTCGCAGATCGCAGCCCCCCAACGACGGGGAGGTCTCGCTCAGATCCGCGCGGTGCCTCACTCCGCTGAACCCACCAGCAACCCTCGAAAGTGGCGACAATGTCGGGGATCGCAACCCCCCAGAGACGGACGGGGAAGTCTCGCTCGGATCCGCGGGGTGCCTCACTCCGCTGGACCCACCAGCAGCAATCGAAAGTGGCGACAGTTTCGCAGATCGCAGCCCCCCAATGACGGGGAGGTCTCGCTCAGATCCGCGCGGTGCCTCACTCCGCTGGACCCAACAACAGTCCTCGAAAGTGGTGACAGGCCCTCGAAAATGGCGACAAGTTCGCAGATCGCAGCCCCCCAGGGACGGGGAAGGCCCGCTCGGATCCGCGGGGTGCCTCACTCTGCTGGACCCACCAGCAGCCCTCGAAAGTGGCGACAGTTTTGCAGATCGCAGCCCCCAAGGGACGGGGAGGTCTCGCTCAGATCCGCGCGGTGCCTCACCCCGCTGGACCCACCAGCAGCCCTCGAAAAAGGCGACCGTTTCGCAGATCGCAACCCCCCAGGGACGGGGAGGTCTCGCTCAGATCCGCGCGGTGCCTCACTCCGCTGAACCCACCAGCAACCCTCGAAAGTGGTGACAATTTCGCAGATCGCAACCCACCAAGAACGGGGAGGTCTCGCTCAGGAGAGGCGGGAGGCGGGAGGCAGGAGGAGAGAGGCAGGAGGATGAGGGAGACGCGACCACGGTGCTCTATTCAACACGAGTGCCCAACCAAGGAGAGTTGGGAACAAGAAATGAAAACCACCACACCGTTCACAACTGTCGTCTTCCTCGCCAGTGTGTTCGGGTTCCCATTCAAATGAACTCCTTGTTTGGGTGATTTACAAAGTTGACTCCCATTCTGCATAATACATATGGAATCGCATCTTGGAGCTGAAAAATCTGACTCCTTTTGTGGAAATCTACATGTTCATTTCTAGTGTGGCTTACACATCGAATATGTGTTCTGGCTTTTTCACAGATGGTATGTTGACGCATGGATTCCCCTTGTGTGAAATATAACTGAAACACCTCTGGGCGGCTCTGGAATCGAGTCCCTGTGCGGACGATCTACAATTGTTTTCATACTGTCCGGGCTATGGTTTTGGACTTCGCCTATGTTCATCCGCGGACGACCTTGGGACGCATACTGTTCGGGATACAACTGGCATATTTGTGTGGGGCTGCACGATCGGATTCCTTCTGTGCGATTTGCATACTGGTTCCTGATGCGTGTGTGTGCGCGTGTTGCGAGTAGAACCCTGTTGCTCGGCGTCACACTAGAACCTCTGTGGGCGATTTACAAATGATTACTAGTGTATGGCATCGACAACTGGATTTCAAATGCGCGGGTATTTCGAAACGGTTTACAGAACAACACGCAACGCAACACACCACCAAATAACACAGCACATCAAGCGACCAAAGCACAGGAACATGTAGAAACCGAGTCGCCCCCAACAAGTCCCCGAGAGATCAAAAACATTGATTACACGTAGCTGTTTCAATCAGCTTTTGTTTGTCGCCTTTTCGAGCTCCCGACGCTCTCAGACAACCCAAGAGGCCCCCAAGACCCTCCCGAGACAGCTCCAGAGGCCCTCAAGAGAGCTGCAAGACGGTCCAACAGGGCTCCGATGAGGCCGAAGAGGCGCTCAAGACTGCTCGAGAGAGGGCCCCAAGATGGCCCCAGGAAGGCCCCAAGAGTGGGCGCACGAACCAGGCATTCGGCCCCTCTGCCCCCGAGAGGTCCCGAACGGGCCCCCTTGCCTTCTCAAATCACTGCCGCCCAGAGTGCTGCGCTGGCATGGTGGCGGAATGGAATGGCCAGAGGCGGCTGGGTGCGGTCGGGGGCCCTCTTGCTTACAGCGCTTCGCGGCGGCGGCCCCGGCGACACTCTCTGCCCCGCCAAGCGGGCGGCGTGCCGCCACCGCTCTGCGGGGCGGGAGGCCAGAGAGAGCTCGGGACAGGGACGGTCGGGACGGGGCTGGAACTAAACGTTGCTTGTTGTCTCGTTGTCGGTTTGCTTTTCGCTTTGATCTGCCCGCTTCCCTGTGCTCCCCTCCCGAAGCGAAGAGCAAAACACAGCCGAAGTCCGGCAACACGGCGGTCAGTTCCAGCCCTGGTCGGGGACCGGCACGTGGACGGCGCGTCGCGCCGACGCGTGTGTGGGCCAAAACCGGGGGCGCGACACCCGAAGCTAAAGTCCCACCTCCTCCCACCTCCTCCTCCTCCTCCACCTCCTCCTCCTCCTCCCTCCTCGTCTCAGGTCCGTCACAGAAACTTTCGGGGGTCTGTGCAGATTTCGTGGGTCTCCCCGCCTTGGGGTCCCCTCTCTGGGCGTGGCGCGCCAGGGGCGGCGCCGCCAGGAGGGGTCCAGCGCTGATGAGTTCACGCGGCTCTCAGGGAGTTTAGGCATGTAGCTGTGAGGTCCGCGCGGTTGCCTCCGTAGGGGTCCTAGCGCATTCGATAAAAAAGTTAGGTGAGGTGCGCTGCCGATTTCCCGGGTGCCCGGGTGCCCATGTGCCAGGGTGCCTGGGTGCCCGCCAGCTCTATAGCCCTATAGCCCTATAGCCCTATCGCCTTATAGCCCTGTAGCGCGATACCCCTATCGCCATATAGCCCTAATAGCCCTATAGCCCGATAGCCAAATAGCCCAGTAGCCCTATAACCCTATAGCCTTATAGCCTTACAGCCCTGTAGCCCTGGAGCCCAATAGCCCCATAGCTTTGTAGCCCCATAGCTCTATAGCCCCACGGCTCTATAGCCCTATAGCCTAATCGCCTTATAGCCCTATAGTCCTATAGCCCTTATAGGCCTATAGCCATATAGTCTTATAGCCCCAGAGCTTTATAGTCCTATAGCTCTATATATATATATGCCTGTAGCCCTTTCGCCCTATAGCCGTAGAGCCCTTATAGCCCTATAGCCATATAGCCCTACAGCCATATAGCCTTATAGTCTTATGGTCCCAAAGCTCGAAAGCCACTATAGCCCTATAGCTCTATATGCGAGAGAGCGTGATCCACCGCCGCTTTACTGTGGAAAATTTCCCCCCCCCCGCTTTCCTCCGGAACCAATGTTCCCCCCCCCCCTCCGAAAATCCCCCCCGTCCCCCTGCTGGACCCACCCCCCCCGGCAAACTCCCCCCCCCTCCCCTAAACCCCCCCCCCCCTGGAAAACTGGGGGGGGCGACTACCAGTTGGATGCCCCCGCACCCCCCCCACCTCTGGAAAACCAGGAGGGGTCACTACAGGTTCGAACCCCTCCCCCCCCCCCCCCCAAAAAAAAAACCAGGGAGGGGTCACTACGGGTTCGAACCCCTCCTCCCCCTCCAGATAACGGCGGGGGGGGTTCGAACCCCCCCCTCCCCCCCAGAAAACCAACGAACCCCCCCCCCGGAAAACCACCGGGGGTGTCACTACCGGTCCGCCCCCTCTGGAAAACCGGGGGGGGTCACTACCGGCTCGACCCCCCAGCCCCCCCTCCAGAAAACCAAGGGGGTCACTACCAGTTCGAACCCCTCCCCCTCCCCACGCTCACCGCCAGCAAACGACTCCCGGATCCCTGCCACCGTCCGCACCACAGCCCCCATTGCTGTCCCCAGCACCACTGTCCTCACCACCACTGTCCCCACTGTTCCCACCACCGTCCCTACTGTCCCCACTAGTGCCCCCCCCACCACTGTCGCACTGTCCACACTGTCCCCACCACTGTTCCCACCACGGTTCCACTCTCTCCACTTTCTCCACGGCCCCGACCACTGTCCCACTGTCCCCACTGTCCCACTGTCCCCGCCGCTGTCCCACTGAGCTGTCCCACTGTCCCCATCATTGTCCCCACTGTCCCCATCATTGTCCCCGCTGTACCTCTGTCCCATTGCCCCACCGCCGTCCTCGCCACCGCCCTCTCCACTGTCCCCACCACCACTGTACCCTTCACTGTCCCACTGTTTCCACCGCATTCCCACTGTCCCCACACCACTGTCCCCACCACCACCGTCCCCACCGCTGTGCCACTGTCCCCACTGTTCCCACCATTGTCCCCGCTGTCCCCGCCAGTGCCCCCACCAGTGTCTCACTGTCCCCACTCTCCCCACCATCGTCCCACCACGGTCCCACTGTCCCCACTTTCTTCACGGTCCCCACCACTGTCCCACTGTCCCCACTGCACCCACCACTGTCCCACTGTCCCCGCCGCTGTCCCACCGTGCTGTCCCACCGTCCCCACTGTCCCCATCACTGTCCCACTGTCCCCACCCTTAGTGGGCCCTGGAAATGACAAGGCCGTTTTTTACCGGTTCCGTTGTGCCGTTTTTTTGCTGGTTCCGACGCCGTTTTTTTTGACCGGTTCCGTCGCCGTTTTTTGACCGGTTCCGGCTCCGGTTCCAATCCTGGAACCTTTTTTTGCCGTTTCCGGTCGCCGTTCTTTTGCCGTTTCCATTTTCAAAGGACATTTTTAGGGAAACGGTGAAAAAACGGCCCTGCCGTTTCCGGGGCACTTTCCCCACTGTACTACTGTCCCACCACTGTCCTCACCACCGCCTTCACCACTGTCCCCACCACCACTGTCCCCACCACTGTCCCACTGTCCCCACCACTGTCCCGCTGTCCCCTCACCACTGTCCCCACTACCACCGTCCCCACCACTGTCCGCACCACTGTCCCACTGTCCCCGCACCGCTGTCCCCACCACCAACGTTCTCACCACTGTCCCAGCATCCCACCATTGTCCAACTGTCCCGAGGAGCGGGAATCGTTTGCCGGCGGCGAGGGGGGGTGGGGGTGGGTTCGAACTGGTAGTGACCCCCCCCCCGGTTATCGAGGGGGGGGGGGGGTCGAACCAGTAGTGACCCCCCCCCCTTCTCATGATGGACTGGGAGGGGGAGGGGTTCGAACCGGTAGTGACCCCCCCGGTTTTCGAGGGGTGTGTGGGTGGGGGGGACGGGTTGGAAATCCCCAGTGACCCCCCCCCCGGTTTTCCGCAAGCAGCGGTAGAAGACGCTCTTTCCTAACTTATATGCCTATAGCCCTATAGCCCTATAGACCTATAGCCCTATAGACCTATAGCCCTATGGTCCTATAGCCCTATAGCCCCATAGCCCTAAAAAGATGTTGATTGGGTTTTCTCCAGTATCACGAACCTCTGCTGAGGGCAAGCAACAAGGCGATACAACAACATCGAGATAGAGCCCGCGGGCTTGGAAAAAGCATCGTTCGCCGCAGCCGTCCCAAAGCAATCTGGAACGTTCTAGAACGACCCACACTTGTCCGAGGCTGCCTTGAAAACTCTTGTGAGGTCGGGCATGTCCTCCTACTGTCAGACTCTGGAGGAAAAAGATCAGTTACTCAGAAAATGCGCCACAATGGCCCCAAAGCAAATTTTTAAAAACGTCCCCATACAATTGTTTGACAATTTTGGGCTCCTGTATAGGGACATGCCCGACTTAATACTTGTCCGAGGCTGCCTTGAAGACTTCTGGAGGCCCGCGCGGATCTCACGAGTCGGCGGCGGCGACGCTGGACCCCACTCCCCCCGTCCCCCCCCCAACTCTGGGCATGCGCCTCTGGCGCCGCCCCATGGGCGCGCTCCACGCGCTGGGGGAGGTGGTGTCCGGAAGGATGTACGGCAGGTTCGCGTCGTGTCGACCCCGGCGTTTGGTCCTGACACCGCGGGGATCGTTCAAACTTGAACGATCGGCCGTTCCGCTGACGCCTGATCGTTTAACGACGGGCCGATTCTGGGCCACGGGCGGCGTTCAACCTTACACGCACTCGCTGGGGTCGCCGCCGGTCGACACGACGCGAACCTGCCGTACGGTGCCGACCCAGGAAATCCGCGCGGACCCCGACAGCTCCTTTCGATCAGACAGAGAAATATGCATATGCTTAGGTCGGGCATGTCCACCTACAGGAGGATTTTTGGCGAAAAATGAAGAAGACACCCCAACCATGTTCAAAAATATTCAAAAAATGCTCAACGAAATCGTCCCCAGGCTATTTTAGACTATTTTTGTATACTCCTCCTGTAGAGCGACACGCCCGAGTTACGATTAGAGGACAGAGAAGAGTATGCATGTGCACCGGCCCTGGGCTTGACACTCCTGGGCCCAAGATCGGTAATTACACGCCCTCCTGGCTCAGGCAGGGAGGCAGATGCATCGACCCCGGGCCAAAAATGGGCCTGGCCAAGACTGGTGCATGTGCATATCCCGTGCCGCCCGATAGATGAAGCACTTGCGTATGTTGCTCCCATCGTATTTAAGGACCACATCCCAGAAATACTTTCGAGCACCCGGAAAAGTGTCGAAACGGTGTCGAAACAATTTCGGACGAGTGTCTCCCAGGGCCCGATACGTGAAAACCTTTGAGTTTCGGTACTTTTTCTGATCCTCGAAATTCTTTCTGGGGATCAAGGCTTAAAACATTAGAGCATCACAATGCATGTGCATATCCCGTGCCGCCCGATAGATAAAGCACTTGCGTGGCTCTCCGGGTCCTCCATCTTGTCGCGCACGGAACACAAGAACGTCACGGCCTCACGCCCGTCAATCAGGCGGTGGTCATAGGTGAGGGCCAGGTACATGATGGGTTTGGCAACGACCTTGCCGCCGACGACGGTGGGCCTTGTCGTCACTGCGTTGGTGCCCATCACGGCGCTCATTGGTGGGTTGATGATAGCGGTGCCCATCATGCCTCCGGCCACCCCGGTATCGGTGATGCCGAATGTTGCCCCACCCAGGTCTTCGACAGCCAGGTCGTCTTTGGCCGCCCTCTCGACGAATCCGGCGATGGCGTGCTCGATGTCCAGGATCGACATGGACTCTACACCGCGCAGGACGCAAGAAACTGGCCCACGCGGGCTTGGGATGGGGATGCTGATGTCCACGTAGTCACGGTAAACAACCTCCTTCGAGCTGTCGTCGATGACGGCGTTGACTCCAGGGATTTCCATCAACGCTTTGCTACTGGCCTTCGCAAACACAGACAAGTATCCGAGCTTTGTGCCGTGGGTCTTCTGAAAAGAATCCTTGGAGGCCACCGCCTTCCTTTCTCCCTGCCTCCCTTCACTCCTATCTCCGTTTTTTCCTGCCTCCCTGTTCTCCACTCTCGTGCCGCCATCCAGCCCCCGGGGCTGAAGTACAGTCAAGATCCTGCCAACAACAACTTCAATAGAACACAACAACACCTTCAGACTCTCTGAGGTCCACGCGTGTTCCTTCGGTCGGCGCTTGGTCCCCCCTCTCCGCGCCGCTGGGGGGGGGGCTGGCGCCATGGGCGCCGCTCAAGGGCGTGGGGAGGGGAGGCGGGTCCAGCGCCGACCGAAGCAACCCGCGCGGATGCGAGAAAACGTATGTTCATGCAACTGCCCCAGCCCTCGCGGCCTGGATCCCGAAGCGGGATCCCATGGACTTGCGCACGGATCGATTCCACCATCCGCATAGCGCCTCCCCGTATCTGTACACGTCGGTCGGAAAACGTAGGTCAAATTGTAAAGTAGGAAGGCGGACAACGTAGCTTGGGTTCAAGCCCCCCCAGAGAATGGCAGAACACGGCAAAAACATACATATTCTTGAAGTAGGATGACGCCTAGAAAACAAATTGGGACCTGGGAATTTCGAAAGACCGAGTTCGAACGAACGGCGTGTATGCGGGGTCGCGGCTGGGGAGGATGCACCACGAAGACGTGGATGCAGATACGGCAAGGTCGCGTCGTGCCTCCGTTGGCGAGGAGGAGGAGGAGGAGGAGGAGGAGGAGGGGAGGAGGAGGAGGAGGAGGGAGGAGGGGGAGGAGGGAGGAGGGAGGAGGGAGGAGGGAGGAGGAGGAGGAGGAGGAGGAGGAGGAGGAGGAGGAGGAGGAGGAGGAAGAGGAGGAGAAGGAGGAGGACGAGAGAGGAGGAAAAGGAGGAGGAGGAGGAGGAGGAGGAGTGAGGAGTGAGGAGGGAGGAGGGAGGAGGAAGAGGAGGAGGAGAAGGAGAAGGAGGACGATTTTTTTTCACCTGGACCTTTTTCCTAGCCTGGTCTCAGGCTAGGACCCAAGCGGTGACCTCATGCGGTGGTTGACTTTGGCAGCAACCCATGGGCCCCGACAAAGAAGAGCTAGTTCGAGCCACATCTGGGCTCATAGCTCACGCGAGCAGCTTTCGAGCGAGGACCCTCCGCACCATCCTCGCAGCTCGTCTCGCGGCCCCTCGCCCCACGCTCGTTGGAGGGAGCCGAGGGAAACGAATTCACTGCCTGCTGCACTGACTCGTCACGATTGGCGGTGTGACGAGCAAATTTGTTGGGCCGAGACTCGGCACCAAAATCGGAGGCGACGCGGATCCTCGACCCCTGGTCTGCAGGGGTCGAGTGGGACAAAACACTACATCGGTACGACCCTATGCGGGAAGGCGCTCTGAGACCGTGGATTTCGATACCATCCGAATCAAAAGTTGGGGACGGGCGTTGAAACAAAACTTGGGCGCTCTCAGTGAGAGCGTGAGGACGCTCCGCACCATCCTCACAGCTCAGCACGTGACCCCTGGCCCCTCTCTCGTTGGAGGGAGCCGCGGGAAACGAGAAACCAGCCTGCTGCACTGACTCGGCACAATTGGAGGCGTGTCGAGCCAACCTGTAGGGCCGAACTTCACCACAAGAAACAGACGCAGGGCGGATCCTCGACCCCTGGACTGCAGGGGTCGAGTGGAACAACTGGGGAGTGGCAGCAGCATCCACGACCTGCACGACAGACGACTGGTCAACGACCTCCTCTCGCTGCTGCCCATCTCCCGTGAGCGGCAAAGCGGTGCCATCCTGCAAAAGACTGGTGCGGGCGAAGCTGCTAGGGCCACTTGGCCCACTGACTGAGGTTGCTGCAGCAGCAGTATCGACAGACGAAGACTCAACGACATTGTTAATCTAATGCAGCTCCTGGCTCGCAGGTTGCACGGACGACGACTCAACGACAATTTCTTCCTGCGAGCCAGGGTGTGCATTCGCAACTTCTGGTGATATTTCAACAGTCACACCAGGAAGTCGTGGGTGCCGACCCTTACATATTCTGTACTTCCATCTCTCAGCATTGTTCCTGGTAGGGCGCCCGCACTTCTTACCCAGGAGAGCAAGAGGTCCCGGGGCCGAGACAGCCTTACAACTGACACAAACGAACAACGGCGAGTCGTCGCTACACTGGAAGGATAAGAGCCTGTGCCCGAGAGCCGATACCTGCCACAAAGTGTCGGGAATCACGCCAGAACAACCCTCACATGCAGGCTTGCCTGAACTACCGAAAATTAACGGGGTGGGATGCTTAGTGCGCAAGCAAACTCCACAACGCCAATAAGAGCGGCACCACTCCCACACATGCTCAAACTCCGCGCCAGGTTTCACTTTGATTTCCTTAGGGGGCCTGGCCAGCACAACCCCGCTGAGGTCGAGCCGAGGCCAGCGTTGCAAAATCCGAGCGGCCAGGCGGCAAACAGCCTTCGCAACGCTGGTTTTGTGCGCAAGGTCGGTCAGTTCGGCGTCCGTGGGCCTAGGATGCGTGGCGAGGCCAGCCTTGGCAACCTCATCAGCAGCATCATTACCAATTTTTAAAAATCGGTCCCTGTCGGACAGGTCGTCCGAGTCCACAACATGGGCTTTGACTTTGTGGAGGGTTCCCGTCCACCGCGAAGAAAAGCTAGAAAACATGAGCCCCGCATAAGGCCTCTTATGGGACAGCTTAATGGCGGGGGGCTCACCGTGGGCACGAACAACGTTGAGACAGTCGGAGTAGCCAGTAGAGGCGCCAACAAGGCACTGGGAGGAAGCTTCGAGGGCCCCGTACTCCCCAGCCTGGCTGGTCTGGGGGAGGGGGGGCCACATAAGCCCAAACGCACTAAACAATTTAGAACCGTCGTCTGCGTGGGCTGTAAAACCCCAGCTTGCTCTGGATAACTCTTTAATGATGTGTCTCTGACAACTGCCGTCCATGAATATATGACCCGAGACCGCCGCATCGACCCTATCAGGCTCTCCTTCCCACCTGGTCTGGGTACCTCCTTCGCCACGAGGACGGGGAACCGAGTCACCTGGGTGCGGGAACAGACCCTTAGTATAGAGGAGGAGGGTAGCAGGGTCAGAAAGATCGCACGACCGAGCATCTTGCTGGATCCGATCTTTCACAAGGTCGTCGCGATATTCCTGAACGTTGGGGCAGAACCACAGACGGTGCATGAGGCTGTCAGATGCAGCCAGGCACAAAGAGCAACGATCGGAGTCGAGCTGGTAGCCCAGGGCGATCGCACGGTCCCTGGTCCAGGTCGCCCCACAGCTAAGCCCGCGGATACTGCCCTTCCCGAGGGCCGTGAATTTTCTAGAGTGGAGCTGGGCCTCCACCACATCGTAGCACAAGCGCTTGCCAACGCCTAACGCCTGGCCTGAGTCTCTCTGCAGCTGGCGGAGGACCCCTTCAACCAACAGCTTTTTGACCAGGGAGGGGGAAAAAGACGTGAGCCCAATAGTTCCCCCGAAATCATTAATGAGCTCAGTGAACGACTTCATACCCCAGTGGATACGCTGCAGAGAGAGCTTCATGGCCCCCAAAGGCCCAGCAACCGTACGCCACGAGAGGTCCTTATCGTCAGGATCCCTGATGAAGATGGTATCCCAGGCTTCGCGCAGAAACCTGAAATCAAGGGGGTGCTTAAAAATCCTAACCTGGTTGGCCCAGACCTCCGTGCTGTAACGGATGACAGGAGCGACGGCGTAGGTAGCAATAGGGTCCCTCTCAAGGATGCGCAGGGACGTGAGGGACCTCATGCCAGCGGAAGGTTTGAGGACCCTACCGAGCCCCTGGCGGAGCCCCTGGAGCTCGAAGTCGGAAACTCCGTGGACCTCCGAACCGTACGTGACGCCCGCCAGGGGCCCCGACGTGAAAACTTTTCTGCAATACCTCTGCCCCAGGATGCCTCTCAACCTCTTGAGTCGGGCGACCCTCTGCTTGAAAGCTTTGCTCCTAACAGAAAATGCGCGGCCGCGCCCAGCTTGCCGTCGGGGCCGACCAGCAGTGTCATCCACTCCTAGATTCACAGCAGAAGAAATACATGAGGGCCCACCCACATGCTCCAACAGTGTCCTGATCTTGTTGCCGACAGCCTGGTCGGAGCAGATCACAGACGCCTTATCTTCTGAAACCACCACCTGCATATCGTCCGACAGAACCGAATGCAATTGGGTGGCCCCCGTGACAATGCCATCGACGACTGATCTGGCCGAACCCGTAGCTTGCAAACCGTAATCGTCGATATATACATATATATACATTTCGAGGGCATCGCGGACTTTCTGCGGCAGCAGGTCGATCGTGGGAATGGCAAAGACCCTCACGAAGGTAGTGGCAAAGGAATCTCCCGCAATGACTCCTTGCCAGGCGAAAACAGGCCCCTTGACGATCCCGCTGATGTTGATGAACCTTGGGCCTCTATAGGCCGCCATCCAGAGCCTTGAAATAGGAGAAGGGAAACCTAGGTCATCACATCTCTGCTGAAGAATGTCGAGCCTAATAGATTCGTAAAACTTGTGGAGGTCACATAACACAGAGCACGCAACACCCTTCTTATCCTTCCTGCTCGTCGCATGTTCTGAACGCACAGCTTGCCTCCATACAGCATCCCCAACCCCAGTGAAAACTCCTGCACTGAGGTACGATTTATTGAACCTTGCCTCCCATTGGACAGCGCACGGTCTCGTCATCCTCCCCGATAACCGATATGCCGAGCTAAACAACCCGATGGGTCTCCACCCGCCAGCAGGCTTGGGCAGAAGCGCAACCATGATGGCTCGCAGGTGGTTGGGTAAAGGGAGGAATGATGCTGATAATACTCATTAGCGCCACCAGCGCGTCATCACAGAGCGAGGCATAGCGACGCATATGGAAGCCGTCGGCACTGGTGGCCGTGCGAGTGGGGTACGACATGGCAACTTCTCTCAGCAAGTCGGGCGACTCGAACGGGAGCGGATCCTGATATTCGATGGGCTCTTGCTTGGGGGGCTCCAATGTGGCTT